CCCCATCACAACTCTTCAGATATTTGAAGACAGCTGTCATGTCCCTCCAAGATTATTCTTCTCTTCTCCAGGGTAAACATGCCTGTTTCTTCAACTGATCATAGTACATCATGGTTTCCAGGCCAGTCTCCCTCCTCCAACTTGTTAATGTCCTGTCTAAAATGTGATACCCAGACCTGAATACACTATTATAAGATATGGGGATGTCTAAGGTGGGGGCATCTATCGTGAGGAGAGTGTTGAGGGGGGTGTCAGGGAAATCGGAAACCAAGGTTGGGAGAGGGAAGATCTCTATTTAAGATGGAAGAAGGTATTTAGCAGCCTAACCCTGTGCCTATTGAAAGCCTCACAGGACTAGGACAAGCCATCAGCACTGGTGATACCTATTACTGCCCACTCTCTACCCACTAGAATCCTGAGCCAGTGATGAGGCTCAGTGAGAATGATTCCTGTCCTCACACAGCTCAACTCAGGTGTCCTATCAACCCATACCCCACCTCACCTGGACTGAGGCAGTCCCCAGCCCCAGGGGACTCCTCACTTCTTCAGTTACCCCTGTTGTTCCCTTGACAATAAACCTAAATAATTTGTTCAGCTCTATCTTCACCGCTGCTTTGCTGTGATTATCCAGAGACGGCATAAAGCTTGGAAGGGCTGGGCTTGGGGTCTCGGGTCTGGGAAGGTTCACTTGGAGCTTAGAAATTTGTAAGAATTGGGTGTATGGCCAGAGAAGAAGGGATTCTTGGGTTTGAGAAATACAGCTCACATTTGTATAGCACTTTAAAGCTTGCAATGGGCTTTCCGCATAACAGCCCTGTGAGGTAGAGTAGACCAAGTATTACTATTCCCATTTTAAAGATAAGAAAACTGAGACTCTGAGGCATTGTGATTTGCCTCACGTTTTGGGTCACATTGTTAGTATCTGAGTTGAGAATCAAACCCCTCTCTCCTGATTCTAATTCCTACATTCTCTATCACACAATCACATTCTCCTATCCCTGCTCTTCAACCTTGCTTCCATTTTGGTTAGGGCTGGACCAGCCTGAATCTAGAGGTGGATTGAGGAGATAGCCAAAACTCTTCATGTCATTAAGCAGCAGTTCAGACCCCACAGCTCTCAGCCACTGATTATTTTCCACTAGCTGGCTAGGCAATAGAAGCTCTGAGGAGGGACCCTATCCACCTCTGCCTTCCCTTCCTTATCCCCAGTCTCATGCTTGGTTCTGCCCTGACCCTGTAACTACACTGCCTTTGGCCTAACCTTATGACCTGTCTCTTAGCCATGGTCCTAGCAGTGAGGAGGGAATTGAAGGTTATCACCCATCCACTATGAGGAAGTCATGGGGCCAGTGTTCAGTCAGGGCCAATATCTAAAACCTGGCATATGAATGTGGATGAAGAACACGTGTATAGAGTGTCAGACTCACAAGGGACAGCTAAGGTAGTACAGACCAGAGGCCCAGGGGTCCCAGAATCCAGAAGTGAATAGAGCTGGGTGAGGTCAGTCTTGGAAGGCTTTCTGAGGGAGGTGAGTTTTGTGCTGCAGTTTGGGAAAAAAGTTTTCACATTGCTGTCATTAAGGTCGTGAGGGAAAGAGATTTCTTAATGGTGAGGAAGAATAGGAATTAGCAAGTGGGAGTTGCAGGACTGAAGGTGCAGAAGCCAGAGTAGAACTTGGCTAGGCCAATGACTCATCTTCTAAATCCTAAGCCTGGGTGGAGAATGATTTCCTAGTTTCCATTGAAACCTTGGTTTCCTCTGACCCTACAGTCAAGTGGTCCCACCCACTGCCCAACATATCCTTGCCCCACCCACTACCAGCCTCTGCTCCATGCACTCTCCTGGTCCCATCTTTATTCCTTCCATTCTTACCAAAATGAGCCTAGGACCCACTTTGAAAGGTTGAAAGAAACCTTAGAGATTATCTACTGAACCCTCATTTTACAAACAGAGAACCTGGGGGCTGAGAAAAGTGAAGTGATTTGTCCAAGGTAACACAAATAATATTGGTGGCAGAATCCAGATTTTTTTAAATTTCGAATTCAATATCCTATTCTTAGAGAAGACCATCCTAGGGCATCCATGCCTCCTGGTAGGTGAGTTCCAAACCACCACTGTGGGGTTTTTACAGACATTGTGTGAGTACCCCTGCATGCCTATCTTCATCCTAGTCAAGAAACTCGAGAAACATGGAGAAGCACTGAAGGAAACTATAGTTTTTCTGAGAAGAGAAGTCACTCATGTGAAACATCAATTAGGACAGTATGAGACTGAATTTTGAACTGAGCAGATCAGACACTGAGTGCAGTGAGAGCCAGGATCGTAGAAATCTTCTCTGACTCCTGCATGATGGTTGGTCTTGAACTGCATCTTAAAGGGAAAGAGATGAGGCAAAGAAGGAGGAGAAGAGACAGACAGATAGACAGAGGGAAAGAAGAAAGGAAGGGCATTACAGAGGGAATAATAAAAGCCATTATCATAATAATATTAGTAATAATTAACATTTATATAGCATTTACTATGTGCCAGGAGGCAAATAGAGTGCTGGGCCTGGAGTCAGGAAAACCTGAGTTCAGATCTGGCTTCAGACACTTACTAGCTGTTTGACCGTGGGCAAGTCACTTAATCTCTGTTTGCCTTAATCCATTGCAGAAGGAAATGACAAACCACTCCAGTATCTTTGCCAAGAAAACCCCAGGGTCATTATTGGTGTGCTATGGTCTGAGGAGTTGTGCCAGACACTTAGCTATGTACTAAGTGCTTTATAATTATTATCTCATTTGATCCTTTTTTATAGATGAGCAAACTGAGGCAAACAGGTTAAGTGACTTGCCCAGGGTCACACAGTTAGTCCATGCCTGAGATTGGAGTTGAACTCAGGTCTTGTTGACTCCAGGCCCAGCATTCTATCCACTGTTTTAGGAATGCAGGGTACATTAGGAGAAAACTGAGTGATAAAGCTGAGTTTGGAGTCAGATCATAGAAGGCCTTGAATGCCAGACTTGGGAGTTTGGACTTTATCCTGTGAGCAATAAGGAACTGCTTACATTTCTTGAGTAGCAAAGGAACACCATAGATTTGAGAACAATTAGTCTGACAGGACATGCAGGATGGACTGGTCTCTCCACATCTAACAGTCAGCAGGAAGCAATCACTGCCCAGAGGTGCCTGGTATGTGTGAGGTATTCACTGTGTATGACCCAGCTGTCAGGAATTTTCATGGATCAGGGCCCAGAAGACAGACTCATACCAGCTCTGCCAACATTATTGAGAAGCACTATCCTTTTTTCACACACACCCACACACACACACACACACACACCATCTTCTCTCACCATGATCTTGGATGCCCCCTTTCTGCCTGCCTTGCCCTGGTCCCCATGGCCCACTCAACCACCTTCCTAAGCAGGTACTCTCTTCTCACCCTACACCCCCCAAGCCCAACCTAGGAGAGAAGCAGCCCCACCCAGACTGAACCACTAGAACTAGTCAGACCAGTTTGGGGAGAGTTTTGGGGGCGGGCTGAGGGAGGGGAAATGGCGAGGGGATAAGGAAGAAGAGGCTGCCCTCCACCTTTACTTTCTGCCAGATTCAGAGCAAAGTTGGCTCAAAGCAACTCTTCAGTTCCCACTACAGAAACTGCTTGAGTTAAATTGAAATGCTGACTTAGAACCTGACCCTGACCCTACACCAGCTGCTCTTGGAACAAGAGTATTCGTTGTATTTGTTCCAAGGAAGGGATGGCCAATGATCAGGGTCAGGGGGCTACCCAGAGCTGACCCACGTTCACAAGCCAAGAAGTAGTGTGTCGTATTGCTTAGAATCAGAAGTGGATTCAAGTTCTATCTCTAACATTAGTTACGTGATCATAAGCAAGTGACTTTAACCTTTCTGAGCTTCAGTTTCCTCATCTATAAAATGGGTATGATAATGTTTATCCTAGTCACCTCATGCAGCTATTGTCAAGAAAGCACTATATATAACAGTATCATTGTGTGATGATTAACTTGATAGACTTAGCTCCTCTCAGCAATACAGTAATCTAAGACAACTCCAAAAGACTCATGATGGAAAATGCTATCCACATCCAGAGAAAGAAATATGGAGTCTGAATGCAGATTGAAACATACTATTTTCTCTCTTTTTTTTTCTTTCTCATGGTTCTTTCCTTTGGTTCTAATTCTTCTTTACAAAGTGACTAGTGTGGAAATATGTTTAATATGGTTGTACGTATATAGCCTATGTCAGATTGCTTGCCGTTTTGGGGAGTGGAGAGGGGAGAAAAATTTTGGAACTCAAGATCTTATACAAGTGAATGTGAAAACTATTTTTACATGTAATTGGAAAAAATAAAATACTATTAAGTGGGGAAAAAAGAAAGCACTGTATAAATTTATCTCTTATTATTATTATTCACTACCTGACCACGTCCACATGTTAAGGGGATATGCCCTGGTCAGATTTAGCCTTTAACGTAGTCATTCATGACCCCTCCTCATGCTCCTCATCTAACTAATGCCTGCTCCAGTGCCTTCCCCATTACAACCTTGCCATTCACAAGCTTTCTCCATCAATGCTGCATGGAGTGATAAATGGAAGGTTCTGCTGATTGTGTTTTTCCCTCATTCAGGAGACCAAGTAGGGGTAGGCAAGCAGAGGGCCCTAAGACTCCTTATCTCTCGCAGGGCCATGTGTCTGGAAGCAGTGGTGGGAGATCTATTGCATGGCTTTTGTGACTGAAAGCGGAGCTGGCTCATCCTGAGCTCCTGGGTGGTAATGTGAGCCCCCACTGGGGGAGGGGGAGCTCTGGGCACCTTGAGTACCCATCAGACTCCCTGGGATCTGGCCCTGAGGCCGGACACGTGTGGAAGCACAAGATCCAGACCAGTGGTCAGGGAGCAGGTAAGAACTGGAGCTGGGGCTGGGGCTGAGGGCAGGGAAAGCAAGGGAGGGAGGGAAGGAAAGGACACCTGGGAGCTGGTGTCTAAGAGAGACAGAAATGGGAGAGATGGAGGCATAGAGAGACTCAGAGGTTGGGCCTACAGTCAGGAATTGTCTGGTACTACAGCAGTGCTATAAGGGGGGATGGGGAAAGATTGATGTGAATTGAGTTATAGATCCATTCCCTGGTGTCTGATCAGCTTGTAAATACCCTGGGCTAGAGAACTGGGCTGCTCGGGAATCCAGTGAATAGGCCAAATAGTGGATGATCCAGAAAGTTTGTCTCAATTGGCCTGGGTTGGGCTGATGGGTTGCCTGGATAGGTAAATCTCCTCTGCTCCCAGCTCCTTTCTAGGCAAATCCCAATTCAGGGAAATGAGTTCAGGGACCAGAGACTCAAAGCATCTGCTGGAGGTGAAGCTACTAGAGACTGGGAGATAAATGTCCCCCACAGACACCTGTCTTGGACAACATTCAATGACCTGAGGTTCTAACCTGAACAGCTGAGAGGAGACTAAGGAGAGACATGCTGAGCTGGAAAGTTGAGGCCTTGAGACACTAGGTGAAGAAGAGAGACAAAGTCTGGGCACCCTGAAAGGAACCAAGTAGTCTAAGAGCTGCTAAAAGTGGCCAAAAGGCCAACAGGTGAGGAGTGAGTCAGGAGGGAGACAATCCTTTAGTATGTGTAAAGTCCTCCAGGACGCTAAGATTCAGGAAGCATAAGACAGAGATATATTCTTCAGTTTGGGCCTTTGGAAGAGCTTTTTAGGGGAGAAGCTGGTTGGCTTAGGCTGTAACTAGCCATTCTGACACCTGGGGCAAAGCTGGTAGGAAAACTTCAGGGAGTAGTTACAGGGTACGAGGGCCCAGGCACCAGCCGCTGGGAGAGGAGTGCAGTGGGACCGCTGGGGGTCCCAACGTCTATTGAGAGAGTGGAGGGGGCTACCCTGCCTCTACTGAGGCCCATGACAAAGGCCTGGCAAAGAACCGGAAGGTACAGGAGCACTCTAGGAGGAGTGAAAGGAGAGAGGGAGCAGGCTCTCCTCTGGATGGCAAGTGCCACAAAGTAAAAACCCAGTCATTCTGCCCTAGTTAGTTTCTCTTGTTGGATTTCCCATAGGGTTCTGGGGGTAGAGGAAAGACCCAGAGGGGGAAGACAGATTCCTGAGATTTAATGTTAGTTCAGCATTTGGGAGAATCACATTCAGGGTCTAAGGGTTCTCAGAGTGAATGTCAGGGTAAAGGGTGGGGGTCTCCATAGGGACCCTTTGATAGGTCAAAGATCATCAGTGAATGATACGTATCTATCAAGGTTGTTGTCTCCCTAACAAGATTGAATGCCAAAAGGCAGGAACCATATTTATAGTCTCTCCCATTGGCCCTAGCATGGGAGTCTACAGAAATCAGGGTTTTTTTAAAGATGTGTTGACTTTTATCAGTGTGACCTGGGAGGCAGATAGAGGAGTCTGGGTTGTTGGGAAAGGAGGAAGTATGTTCAAAAAATACATGGCAGATCAGTTATCCCCCAAAGTCCCCAGTGGAGGCCCCAACTCAGCAAAGATTTTGTGAACCTAGCTCCAATTCTCAACATGGGGTAAATTCTCCTGAGTCCAGGAAGTAAAGCAATCACTAGGGCTGTAGTTTCCTCTTCAAGGATAAACCAGAAGGAGGAAGTCTCTGTTCATATTCTCCTTCATTCTACCTTCCCTACCCTTCCTGTACCCCAACAAACTACCTTTAGAACATCTCTTTCAGGGGCTCCATTAATATTCCTCCAAAAAAACTTTTCCCCAGGTCCTTGACCCCCATTTTGGCTCTCCCTGAACTCTTCACTCCTCAGCCTTCCAGGACCGAAAAGGGAGCAGCTGGTGGCTTTCCTTGTCTCTGTCCAGTTTGGAAATAAGATATCTGTGATCTCTCATCCAAGCTATGTGTCTTTTAGTGTGTGTGTGTATGTGTATGTGCTCTGTGTGTGTTCATAGCATCAAAGGATTTAGAGCAGTCAAGGACCTTAGTGATCATCATGGCCAGGGTCACATAAGGGGTAAGTGTCAGAGCTGGTGTTCAAACCCAGGTCCTCTGATAGTAGGTCTAGTGTTCTTTCCATATGACTTTCCCCATGTTAGTGTGTCCTAAACATAAGAAGTGTTGCATAGTTCTAAGCCCTGTCAAATGGATCAACAACAGAAATGGATATAGTTGTTTTTTTTAATCAACAGAAATAACATTAATGAAGGCACATTACCATCTGTTTTGCCATTGCACCCCAAGGACCATCTGACTTGCTGCTGAATCCTGCTGTGTGTGTTGTCTCCCGCTATTAGAATGTGAGCTCTGTGAGAACAGGGACTGTCTTGCTTCTCACTTTGTATTCCCAGTAAGTGTTTAATAGATGCTTTTCCATCCATCCATCCATTCATTCACTCACAGTAGTTAGAGCACCAGACCTGGGAGTCAGGAATGTCTGGCTTCATATTCTGCCTCAGACTCGCTAGATGTTTGATCTTAGGCAAATAAATAATTTATTGGAGATCTCAGCCTCAGTTTTCTCATCTGTAAAATGGGGGTGATACTTGTAGTGCTTCCTGTGTAGGGTTGATACAAGGATCAATTATTTGTAAAATGCTTTGCAAACCAGGGAATGCTATATAAATGACCAGCAGTGGTGTTTCTTTTATATGAGTGTCTCTGAGACCCTTGTCTGTACTTGTGTGTGTCCCCTGAGAACAGAGCCAGGACAAAGAGATGTAGTTAGGGCTTTTGAAGGTAAAGTTTGGGATAGCAATGTGTTCCAGAACAGGAGGGGTCTGATGAAGTCAAGACCTTGTGCCACATCTTAACACTAGCCCTTTATTGGCCCTGGGATCCAAGGTAACAGGCTGAATGAGTCCCAGGTCCCCAGCCTTGGTCCGTCTTTCTCTCCACAGAATGTTGCATGTAGAGGGAGTCACTGAAAGTGAGGCCATTCCTGCTAAGGAGAAACCTTCAGAAGTGGGGGTCCACCGAAATGACTGCATCATCTGCTATTCCTCCTATGACCTGGCTGGCCGCCTTCCACGCCGTCTGTACTGTGGCCACACCTTCTGCCAGTCTTGTGTCCGGCGACTGGACACACCAGCTCATGAACAGCGATGGATCCCCTGCCCTCAGTGCCGCCAGAGCACACCCACACCGAGAGGTGGTGTGGCCATGCTGGACCTTGATCTGGCTGCCTTCCTGGCTGTGAAGGCTGAGCGGGAACCCCTCCGAGGAGAGCCCTGGTCCCCAACTCCTCACAAAGGCAGCCCTCCCAAACCTAGCTCCGTGATCACCCAGCAACCAGACAGCCATTGTCCAACCCTAGGCCCTCAGCCCCGCTTCCCCCGACAGGGTGGCTGTTGGGGCTGCTGCCTATGCTGTGAGCCTGAGGGCACCCCTGAAGTCTGAGTCCTGCCATAAATGTGCCCAGCTACCAAACATCCTGCCATGGAACAGTCCCTAGCCACAACATCCAGGCAGTCTTCATGGGAAGCCGAGGCTGGACCCTTGACCTAGCCCATGCATGGGATTGAAAGTGAGGGCTGGAGCTCTGTCCTGAGATATGTCTCATCACAGCTCCTTTGCTTTCCTCACTAAGTCCCAACTCCTTTGCTAGTTGCCACCAACCTCTTCTCAATGCTGATTCACCATCATACTCTCCCTACCAGGACCCTGAGTTGGGGTTATTTGGAGAGTTCTAATTCCTCAAGGTGGCAAAGGGCCTCTGGCTGCTAGAACCCATAATGGTTCCCTTGGCTGCCTGGTCCCCTAGAAAACTCAGCCTCTGAAAGAGATAGGACTCTGCACCTAGAACCCTGAACTCAAACCCCATAATTAGCACATAAATTAAAAGCTATGTTGACTTGCATCCCAGGAGAGGCCACCACCCAGATTGTGAGGGTAGGGATACCTAGGACCGTGGCTGAGATCCCTGCAGTTTGGAATAGGGCACAACGGCTGTGTTTACAACCATTTGTTCTGTTCATTTTTTGTTTTTGGTTTTTTTACTAAAGTGTGACTATCTACTCTGGTTTCTGTCCCCCAACTGCATGTTTGTCTGAAGTCACAGAGTTTGTTTCTAATTGCCTGAAAATCCTTTTGGCCCCAATGTGTCACCATGGCTTTTTCTCCCCACATGAGGAACAAGATAGGCAAAAACAGTAAAGCTATGAATGACCCCTTCTGGACAGAAGGTGCTCTCCCATCCCAGCTTCCTATAGGAACGTTTTACTGATAGATAGGACTGGTATATAACTTTGAACTCTAAACATTGACCTCTTGGACCCTGACCCCTAAATGACCCCTAGACACTGACCCCCAGACACAGTGACTCCTCAGAAAGTGATCCAGGATGCTGATCCCAAGAAAGACATTTAATCAATTCCTGTGTTGTTCAGAAGGAGATTTCTTTGGTAGGGCTCTCTTTGAACCTAGGTCCCAGTATGATGCCCTAGGCTGCCTGGTTGTGGAGGGGAGGGAAGGCATCCAAGGGAATGTGCTGACCCAGGAGGGACACAGATCTGCCTCACCCACCAAGTCCAAAGTCTCATATGCCCACAGGGAACATGCAGAGAGTGGGGACTCCCCACAGGCTGGCCCCCTGGAGAGTATGTCTAAATCTGACCCTGGCATGGTTGGAGGGGGGTGCCTGGCCGTTGATCTTGTTGCCCCAGAGAGAGAACTGATCAGGGAGGGGCTGACCCCAAGAAAAGGGAACACCCATCAGAGATGGTGCCCCAAGGGCGCAGGTGAGATCTACAACAAGGCCACAGCTGGTCTCAGTCAGAATTCAGTCTGTAACCAGGGTAAGGGCTCAGTCTATGGTCAGGGTTCCAAAGCAGTCAGTAGTTGAGGTCAGGCCTCAGTCTGGGACCAGGGTTAAGCATAGAACCATAAAATATCAGCACTGCGAGGGACCTTAGAGACCATTCTATTCTAACCTTCCTTTTCCAAGGATAGAGAGAGAGAGATTTCATTCTAACCGTGGCCCTAGCAAGAACCACCTCTAAATCTGATACGGATTCCACAATGACTCTAAACCTTGTCCTGACCCCACTCCAGGCACAGATATTCTCCTGGATTTTCCTTGAGTCTACCATTCCCTCCTCCAAACCCTGACCCATTCTTGCCTCAGAATGATGCCGCTCTCACTCTCTGATATCCTTAGCCCTCTCTTGCCCCAACCTGGACTCTGGGAGTAGAAGCTGCCTCGGCTTTGCCCACCCTGCTCCCATCCTCCTTAATGAAAAGTGGATGATGCCCTTGGGAAGGTGAACAACGGACAGGGAGATAGTAAGAAGGAAGGGCACATAAGCTCCTCAAGGTTAGGCTTCTGTCATTGGCAGAGTGCTCTGCAGCAGATAAGATGTGTGGCCAGCCCAGGACACAGGCACCTCAAAGCTGGATTGCCTAAATCCACATTTTCCTCTTCATCCGAATGTTCTGGGGTTGTGCAGAGAAAGCCAGAATCAGAGAAAGACCTGAGACAGGGACCTGGGAGTCCAGAATATCCACCCCAGGTTCCTTCCACCTTGCCATTGGGGTAGGGATAGGGAGAAGCCAGACTTAGTGTGGTCACTGTTCATGTGCAGTTATGGTCATGGTTATACATATGTGTACATTGGCTTCTCCAGTTTGAGGAAAGGGATAAGTGTCATCAGACAGAGATTACCTGTCAGGGATGGTCCAGAAGATTCTAGTTTCCAGGTGAGGGGGGAGCACCCAAGCCAAGGGAAAGTAATCCTCTTTCTGGGAAGGGCTTGGGGGGTAGGAAGCTTCTACCCTTATGGGTGTCTGTAGCTGGAGGACCATGTCAGAAGTGTGGTGTCCTCACCCAGGGAGTGGGGGACAGATTAGCTCCCTGGTAAACATTAATGGGGAGGTGCTTATAGTAGGTCATGTGTAAGCGAAGCTGGATCTTTGACCTGAATCACTACCAGCCTCTTCTACAGCCTCCTAATCACTTCTCAGAGGGTACCTTGGGGCCAAGAGGCAGCTCAGGTAGGTGTCTTAGGGCCTAGGGCCCGGGTCTTGACAGGCCAGGAGACTATGTGTATTGAGAGAGAGTGGGTTGACTTTCTCTCCCAGGATACTGGGGTATCCTCTCATCCCCAGCTACCCAGTAGTTGATGGCAGAAAGAGCTACAAGGGAAGGAAGAGGTAGCCAAGAAGGAGAGGGGTGACAGAAGAGAACAGGATTTGTGTACCTCCATCTCCCATCTTCTTATAGCGTGTGAGAATGAGGGTAATGGTGACAGAGAAAGGGCACCTCCCTCCTGCCTTGTAAAATCCCAGAATCAGGCAGGAGGGAGCTGCTGACTGTGACATGATATGACATAATATATGTGTTTGTGTGTGAGTCGGTGGGGAGGACCTGGGCCATGGGCAGAGTTGGGTACCCAAGGGACCTGGAAACATTTGGAGGCAACATGGTCCCCTGGAAAAGAACATTGACTGTGAGGTCAGAAGACCTGGGATTGAATCCCATTTCTGATGCTTACTACCCGTGTGAACTTGGACAAGTCACTTAACCTCCTTGAACCTCCGTTTCTTTATCTGTAAAATGAGGGAGTTTGATGGGGATGTCTCTGAGGCCCCTTCCAACTCCAGATCTCTGATTTTATGAATCTGGTGGAGGTATGGAGGGAAATCAGTTGCCTCAGGGACCAAATATAAGATAGAAGTCAGGCTACACAGAAACCAGTCTTAAGATTAAAGATAAACAGTACAGCTTTTTTTTTTTTTTTTTTTTTTTTTTTGGTTAGAGAGGAGTAAGGAGTGAGTGTTGGGGGATTAGGATCTTGGATTTCTGGTAAATGAGTAGGAGTACCCAAGAACTGTAATGATAAACTATCACCATCATCATCGCAAATGCCAAAGTCTAATCTGAAACCATCTATGGTGTCTGTAATGACACAAGATAGGATGGGTCACTGAGTTCCTCCGCTCAGGCCAAGTCCTAATGTCACCCACTTTGCACTCCATGCCCTCTTTTCCACCCTAACCCTTGTCCCAACCTAAAGATAGCTTGATCTGACTATGTACAGCCTGGAAGAATTGGCAGGAGCAATTGAAATAAAGGGACGTCTGGATGGGCCCAGACCCTAGGAAGGCAGAGGGATCGATGGATGGATGGGTGGGTGGATGAAACCATGGGTTACCTGAAGCCTCTGAATTTGCCTTTTGTAATATAGCATCATTACTTCTACTGTGGGTGTGGGTTCTGGCTTAGAAGGGTATAATTTTAGTGGACAGGAGGGAGAAAAACACAGACCTAAAGCCAATGTAGTTATCCTTCTATGGAGGAAATGAGCAGACAACTCAGGATTTCTGATTCCTATACCTTCCCTGCCAAGGAAAGGAGGAATCTTTCCAACCTTTTCCCATTCTTTTCATTTCCTACAGCCAGACTGGGACCCCATGTCTCACTTTCAGCCTGGCCACAGGGCCCCTACCACAGTCAGTATCAGCCTTGAGAGCCAGAGAGCTGGAGATGCAGGTACAAAAATCTTCTTCCACAGCCTCCCCTCTCCCTTTCCGTTCTTCTCCATTCCTGTCCTTTGATTCTCTGCTTCTTATCTCCAAACTGCTGTGTCCTGTATCACATCCTTGTACCCTGATTCCATCTCAGCTTCTATCCTATTTGATCCTTTCCCCGGACCATACTGGAAGGTTTGAAATTTGGGATAATTCTTGTCCTGGGGTCCAGCTCAGCCACCCATCCTGGCTCTGACTCAGACCCTCCACAGGGATGGAACAGTTCAAAACTCAGGTCCCCAGCTGGGCCCCAGACCTGGAGGAAGAGGGAGAAACAGATCCTTGGGCCCTCCCACAGCTGAAAGCTTCTGGCCGGTCATGGAAAGGTGAATTCTGTTCTTGTTTATTCTCTGCAGCAGAAAAGGGCAAAGCCAGCCATAGACAAGGAATTAAAAGGGGACAGGGAAGCATCTGACATTAGGAGGATACATCTTGTAGTCAAGGAAGGGAATTGCAAATGAATTCTTTGAGTTTTGGTTCTGGAAGAGCCTTCGTGATCCCATCCCCATTTCACAAATGGGGAAACTAAGGGCATGGGGATAGAATAATTAAAGTTGTGGAACTGGGATATGGAATAGGTATGTAAGGATTCAGGTTAGTAGTTGAGAACATGAGACAGGGTTTAGGGTTATGAGGTCAAAACAGGGAATAGGAATAGAAACAAAGGGACTAAAGTTGGTATAGTGGGGTATGGCACAGGGATGTAGGGATTGGTATATGGAATGGGAATGTCAGAATGAGGGGGGTGGTATTGGGATGTAGGAATTAAGATGATCAAATAGGGGTAAGCATGGGAGCTCTGGGCAAAGGGAAAGTGTCTACTTTGTTCCCTCAGAGCTAAGCTGGGCAGGTCGGCTACGCCATGTGGTCATTGGTGTCCTGAAGGGCTTTGCACTCCTTGGCCTCCTCTACCTCTTCATTTGTTCCCTGGATATTCTCAGCTCTGCCTTCCAGCTGCTGAGCAGTGAGTGGCCATGGGCATGACCAGGGGAGGTTTAGGAATCACTAATTTTTTAATTACATTTTTTTCATTTACAAATCAATTTCCTCCCTTCTTCCCCGAACCTCACCTCACCATTGAAAAACAAAGAAAAAAGAAACCCTTGCAATTTAAAGATGGATAGTCAAACAATACAAATTGCTATATTAGCCACATCTAAAACAATATGTCTCATTCTGCACCCTGAGTCCATTCCCTGTCTGTAAGGTGGTGGGTAGCATGCTTCATTATGGGTCTTCTGCAATCACGGTTGGCCATTGGGTGGATCAGTGTTCTTTCAGAAATCTTTCAGAGTTGTTTGTTTTCCAGAGTTGTAGCTGTGGTGTAAATTGTGCTTGTTCACACTTCACTCTGACAGCTCATGCAAGTCTTCCCGGGTTCCACTGGGATCATCTCAGGGATTAGTTTTTTTTAACACTCTCAGACCCTTCTCTCCCTACCTCTCTCCCTCCTGCCCTTTATCTCAGGCAAAGTGGCTGGGGACATCTTTAGGGA